AGTCAGAAACATCCATTCACTTTACATTCACATTCATTTTAGTTAATTCAATCATAAGTGTTTAATCAAACTTCTGCTTTTTTCCCAAAATCACACATTAGAATTCCTTCGAAATTAAAGCCTTTTAATGACGTTCAAATTAAAGTAAAGGTAAATTTGGCAGATTCTTAAATCAGTTAAGTCACTCTAGACACTATAATAGATAGACCATTAAAAAAACAGTATGTATTTATTAAATCTTTACATACATGAGGACGAGGATTGTCTTTAGCATCAACTAAACAACTTTGTGATGCAAAAATATTTCCATCCTTTGAACTTTTTTTTTTGCATTGTTCCTTCCTAGAAATGCACACCTTAGAGCTGCTCTTTTAGCTTGATTCTTATGATGTTATGAGTTATTTCTTGAATCACTATCATCTACTTTTACTAGAGGGAGTATTGGCCTAGTGGGTTAGAGCAGTGCAGAAGGTGCAGCCTGCACTCTGGGTCTCTGAGCAAGACCTTTAACCCCACACTGCTTCCCACATGCCGCACAATGGCAGCCCACTGCTCCCCAATGGGATGGGTTAAATGCAAGTAAAATTTCTCCAATGTGAGATCAATAAAGTTCTGTCTTTCTTTTCATTTTCTTGGGTAGAAAAATTGTAGAGAATTTACTTTAAATGGTGCTACTATAGTTGAAACAGAGCTGCTCTTACTTGAGTAAATTTCCTGTACTCTACCCACCTCTGCTGAATGCACTAAAGAATCTGTGCACACATGCATGTACTGGTCAATGCCAATGCAAGAAAGATAAAGCTAAAATCCAGTGGTGTCTAAAGTACACACGTGTTACTCAACCTCTTACACCCTAAGGGGGTATAAATAAATTTCTGCCTGACAAAAACACACAAAAGTAAATAACTTACAGCCTCACAGCTATTAGATTTAAGAAGAAACTTTTGGTACGTCTGTAAAGGTAAGATGTCATAGAATGGTTTTCTGGTGTCAGCACCATTGTAGCTTTGACCCTGCCTGAAATATTAGGGACAAAATACAAAATATTTTGCATTTTTTGAACCTCGCCAAAATTTTCTTTGAAATAAACATTGCAAAACACTACCAAAATATTATTTATAGCACAAAAAAGTAGTACAGACTTTTAAATCTAAATGTTGTGTAAAAATATACCAAATTTGGACTCAATCAGATGAATCATATTTATTTTAGAATGGTATTAGTGAGAAATTTCTTAGGCGGAGGGGCCAGTTTGGCACATTTATCCATAAATGTCACCAAACTGTGCCAAATATGTTTTTTACATCAATACTGGGGTGTTTGGTAAAATTACGAGGTCACGTAGCAGCTGGACCCGCCGGTGGGTCCGTAGGGTTCAAGGGGTTAAGTAGAAGTATAGATACAGCAGTTTAAAAACACTCTGGTAAAAGTTGAAGTATCAACTTGACCTCTTTACTCAAGTAAAAGTGAAAAAGTTTGTGCTCCAAAAACTACTTGAAGTATTAAGTAACCTTTAAAAAAAACAGCCAGATGCCACTATATGAAATGAAAGCTCAATATTTCGACTATTTATAAAAATTCTCTGAGATAGGACCAAGGATGAGGGAGGTCTTGTTGGTCTCCATCTCCCGATACACTCTCGCCTGTGTCCGACCTTTCAGACATTTCTGCATCTTTTTCTGAATCCTACATTGTAGCATGGCATAGACAGTTCACGTTTGCAGCTTGAAGAACACCTGCTTGCTTCTGATGATTTCCTTTAGCTAACCAATGAGTGTTTGCGTTATATGACTCATCCAATCATTCTAGTTTTCACTAGATGTGGATGGAGCCAATGATCTGCATTGGATGGAACACATGATATGAAATAAATATTTATAAACATTAAACCAAAGCCAAGAGTAACAAGTAAAGTTTTTTTTAAGATAGTAAGGAATAGAAAGTACAGATACTTGTGTGAAATTGTAATGAGTAGAAGTAGGAAGAAAAATAAGTAATGGGTTAAAGTATAGATACCCAAAGTACAGTAACAAAGTATTTGTACTTTGTTACTTGACACCTCTGCTAAAATCTGCGGAAAAATGTTGGTGCATCAGACCATATTTAATGACAATCCAACTGTTTTGGCCCTTGAGGGCCATATAATTTACCATGAGGGGCTGGATTTGGCCCGCAGTGTGCTCTAATGAACATTGGCTTTGATTCAATGATCCATTAATGAAAAATATAAATGAGTTTTAAAAACACCCATTGATGGGTTAATTAATATTAAGACATACCGTATGTGGTCAAAGTTTTATTATTTTGTGATTCATCAATAATAACTAATAATAATGTTTGGTTTATTGTGCTTTATACAGCAGGCTGCTTGAAGTCATATTTTCCGCAGAATATTAGAGTTTTGCCTGTTTAACAGTTGTGCAGTAAGGCGATGAAGGACAAGCACGCAAAGCACCGTTTTCCTGCATTTATTTTCCCCTGCAGATGACATTAAAAAAAAAATTAGAAACTGTCTCCAAGTATGCTGTCCTGCACATCCGCTCACAGAAGTTACACTGGTCAGCTAGTCCAAACCGTGCCTGAAAAAGTGAGACCAAATTGGTCTAAAAAAACTAATTATATTGGTCCAAATTACACAAAACTACGGAAGAGAATTAGAGTCACTGAAAAAAAAAAGTTTACTGATTTTTAAAATTTCATTTCAGTTTAATATGGGAAAAAAGTCAGAATTCTGACTTTTTTAATCCCAGAATTTTGGATCTTAGCATAGATGGGCAGCATAAAGGAAGAGATGTGGTGAAAAATGACGCAATTAGGCGACTTTTTACGTGCCTGAGGGGTCCCCGGAGATTCTATTTCATTAATGGAAGAGCAGAAGGTTATTAAAACAAGAGAGCTAGTTTAGTCTCTAAAACAGAGGTTGCTACGGCTTGATGCTAACGTGTTTGTTAGCTGTCAGAATTCTTACCGAATTCTGAGAAAAAGGTCAGAATTCTGAGACTAATGTCAGAATTCTTAGAAAAAGGTCAGAATTCTGAGATTAAAGTCAGAATTCTGACTTTTTTCTCATATTATAATGAAATAAAATGTAAAAATTAGTTAACTTTTTTTTTTTTTTTAGTGGCCCTAATCCTGTTCCGTTAAAAACAGCTTGGTAAAATTTCAGTATTTACCAGTGAACAACATACACCAAAGAATTTACTGTAAATGACGGAAATTTTAAAGAAAGTTGTATAATTGGGATGGTGCATTTTTCCACACAACAAACCCTCAGCAAGACGGACACCGTTGTGAGGTCTAGGGGGAAATGGCTACAGAGCCCAGGAGCAACATTAAGGGCAGAGTGCAGGAAAGTAAAATTAATGAAATCGAATAATGCAAATTCAATTCAGTTTATTTCTATAGCGCCAATTCACAACACATGTCATCTCAAGGCACTTTACAGTTTAACAGATCATTCAGTCAAATTGATTGAAAGTTTTCTATCTAAGGAAAACCAGTTGATTGCATTGATTCATTGACTCAGATTCAATCCCTTACACTAAGCATGCCAGTAGCAACAGTGGAGAGGAAAAACTCCCTTTTAACAGGAAGAAACCTCCAGCAGAACCAGGCTCAGTCTGAGCGGCCATCTGCTGAGGCCGACTGGGGTTCAAGGAGAAAGAAGCAGAGATACAAAAAACAGCTGTAAAAGGCGGCCCCGTCCCGGAAACACACAGCCAGGCAGACGAACTCAAAGCCAGCTCCCATGTCAGAGGATGAAAAGAGCACATCCACTCAGTCACGGTCAGAGAAACAGGACCACACTGGAAAACAGGCTGATCTCCAACATCTATAAACAAGGGTGTTGATGGCAGCAGCACAGCTGATATTTCTCTCCACCATAGAGTCACAGCCAAACCGGAGCAGATGAGGTGAAGCTACTATAAAAAAAAAGGCAGAGAGAACACTAGAGATTGAAAAAACAGATTCTGCAGAGTGGAAAAATAGAGATAGAATAAAGCAAAATGATTAAATAGGAGTCCCTATGTCCTCCAGAAGTCTAAGCCTATAGCAGCATAACTATAGAGATAGCTCAGGATAAAGTAGACAGGGTGTCTGCCTCACCGACTAAAACTTGTAGTTGGTTCCACAGGAGAGGAGCCTGATAACTTAAAAGATCTGCCTCCCATTCTATATTTAGAAATTCTAGGAACCACTAGTAAACCTGCAGATTGAGAGCAAAGTGCTCTGTTAGGAACATAAGGAACAATCAGATCTCTGATATAAGATGGAGCTTGGCCATTTGAGGCTTTATATGTGAGAAGGAGGATTTTAAACTCTATAAATTAGATCAAATTCATTTATTCTCAAAATAATCATGAAATGATAAGTTCAACTTACAAATCTGGAAAAGAAATAAAATAAGCGCAAGTCTGACTATGTTACACCTGCTTAGTTTAAGCTGAAGGAAAATCCTCTCCAACATACAGCCTCTCTGTTTGACAGCCACCCCACGTGCTCCCTGTGTTTACGTTCCGCAGGGGGAGCACGCGGTTGTCACTTCTCGCCCTCTCATTGGCCTAACGTCACGCGGATGCCTCCCACGGGCGGGACCTGTAAGCGGAAGCAGTTTCTGCGCCGCTGAAAAACCCTAATAAATATCCTTCTAATAAACCTGATAATATTCCCTTCCACGCGAGGACCTGGGTGAAGCATCCCTGCGTCAAAAAAATTCAACCGCGAAGAACCGAAAGTTCGTTTCACTTCAAAAAACCGCCGCGCGCCTCACTGAGCGCCAGAAACCGATGAAAGCGAAGGGAAAAGTTGACCAAAGTGTCTTTGTTAAAACATTTAGATCTCCGCAGGTCACAGTAAAGGAGAGGGAAGCCGGTTTAGCCGCTCTGCGTCTTTCAGCTGTTAGAATCGCAGCTCAGTTTTGAACTTTTTTAGCGCGTTTGTGTGAACCGGGAACGCGCATGCGCACTGGCGCCGGCAGCCAGAGGCGGATATAAGGATTGGCGCCGGCGCCACAGCTGATGCATTCATCCATTCTGCACCGTGGAGGTAAGAACCAGAGCCGCTCACTGCTAAACCACACAGCTTCAGCATTAAACTCAACCTGTTTTAGGGTTTTAGCTGTAGCTTTAGTAAGAAAGGGTTGATTTTAGCAGCACCTGTATGCGTTTAATAACTTTCTTTAGGCCAGGAGAGGAACTTTTGAGCATGTAGTATTAACTGTAGCCTTACAGCTTAATAAATCCTGTTATATCTGCTCTATAACTGCTTGTTTGTAGGTTTTAATTCTGAAAGTTCTGCATATTGAGGAGTTTTATTTGTACGTACACAGATTAAATTGTGTATTACAAGACTGTATCATTAAGTTAGGCCTATATGCGGTTATTTTCATTAAAAGGAATATTGTTTCTTTCCCAGAGGCTCATAAAATTAACTTTAACTGTATTTTGGGGGGAATTGGTCGGTTATTGTTGACCTAGTTAGCTGTTAGTTTGCTAATTACAGTAGCTGCCCTCTACTGATTAGCCTCGCATCGGTTCCAGTTTAGCCCACTTTATTGGCGCTTAATGTCCAATAAAACGTTTCTTATTCAGATATGTGTTTGTCCTGCGCCTCGTTTATGGGTTGGTGGTGGTTTAGGGGGAGCAGGGCCCCTGTTAGGCGGGTTTTCCCTCGCAGATTCGGAGCTAGTTTCGGAGAGGCTGGGCTCAGATCCTCCCGCTTCTGCGTTGTAGAAATTGGCGCGTCTTTCAGATTCAAACCGCTTTAAAACTCGATCATTTGGACTTTTTACCCCCTAAAAATATAACATAGGTGTTAGGAAAGATGTGGCGCGTCATTAAAGCCGATAAAGTCAAAAATAAGAGTTTTATTTTCGAGGTTTTTTTTGTTGAAATGGAGGGAGAAGCCGACCCCCCTTCTTCCAGGCAGCACCATGGTAGCTCCCAGAACCTGCCTGCTAGTTTAACCAATTTTATCCATTTTTATTCAGTTTTTTAATGTTTTCTTTGAGTTTGTGAGCTGCATGGTTTCCTCGTGTCCTTCTTCAGCCTGCAGCCCTGTCCTAATGATAGCTTATTAAGGAGATTTCTGCAGGTATTGCTGATAACAAGCTAGCTCTACTGTTTCTGTGTTAGCTGCAGATTCCACACCAGGTTCAAACTGAGCATTTTAAAGTACAATTTCTACCTTTATATAAACTGAAACCTTTCTATGATCAACCAAGGGGTTTAAGAACAAACTGAGCTGTATATAACATTAGTTTAATAATCTACACACCTTATTTTTAGGCTATTTCAGCTCTTAGCAGCTTTATTTTTAACTCCTCTGTTTAACAATCTGCCTGTAAGAATTATCTTAATTCAATTAAACTAAAATAATACATTGGAATCTAATTAATGTACATAAAAGACCCAGAATGGAGGGAATTCTTTGTATAATTTGCATAATTTGATCAGTTTGACGAGGTCAATTACTCCACATATTCCTCAGATTCAAACACGTTTCAGTTCATTGCAGAAACTTCTTTAAAAATAAAACAAAACAAAAAATATTAAACTGAGTGTACTTGCTCTTAATTTAGGCCTGTAAATGAGCTTCTCTACTAATGGGTAGTTATTTTTTTGCCATTGCATTTAGATAATTAGAGGTTATGCACTTGAAATACTTTCTTTTTTGAAATGTTTAGATTATTTTGTTGGGATCTTAGCCCAATTAAATACATTTTTTGTGTAATTCTAAATTCCCTTGTCTGCATCATACATGTTCTCCCAAAAGTTAACTTTTCTAATTTTCTGTCATTTCCAGGAGAGCCATAAACATAAGTCAGCACCATGTCCAGACGCAGGTAAGCAGCTGAAACTGGGAGTTTGTTTGAGGACCAGATGATCTGAGAAAACATTTGACAAATACTTAACAGTTTACTGGTTACATTTTATATTGACGTTTGTTAGTTCCACAATACCAAATAGTATAGGGAAAAAACCCATAGGTGGTCTCTGTTTCTCTTTCACTATAGATTAATTGAGATAGATTGGCTCTTGTTCATTTAGCATGCTTACTAAGAGCCAAAATTGTCCATTTTCATTGCAGTGTTCGCCTCACCAGGGATTCCAGCACAGTTGAACCATCAGTCAGAGAACCACTAAAGAAAAGAAAGCCAGAGGTTTGTTAATCAGTGGTTATATGTTGTTAATAACCATTTATATTATAGTTTGCTGACTATAACGTAGGTTCAACTCTTCTCTTCTCAGAACTCTAATAAGAAGCTGCAACCTGCGCCAAAGAAACAGAGCTATGAAATACAGGTCAGTCAGCCTCCATCCACAAACCCTGAATGATTGTGTTTATAGCTGATAAGAGCTCTGCCCAGGATGCGTTTTCTGCTTTATCTTTCAGTCACGCCCTCTTATCAGTAAACTGCATTTTATTGTCTACCTCTATTATCCTAAAGTTTTTTTATTTTACGGTAAAGTTCCTTATTGGGATGTTTTAGTCATGGTAACTGGGTCAGTTGGAGGGAATTTGATCAGAGGTAGTAATGATGCAGTACTGCAGCTTTACCAGGAGGTGTCACTGTTTACAGGATTTCCGCAGGTCATTAAAAATAATTAAGTCTTTAAATGAATACTTTTTAAATTAAGGCATTAATTGGCATTAAGATTCATTAAATGTGATTATCGTGGCATTTAAAATGCTTAGTAAAAAAAAAAAAGTGGAACTGCTTCAGGTTCATTGTAAAGAGATATATACACACACACACACACTTGTTGATGGCATTAAAATTATTTTACAACATTAAAAAGCATTAAATTCCTGTAAAAACCCTCGTTTATCATAAGAATCTCCCTATAGGTCAGGGATTTAGTCAAGCGGTAAATATCTGTTTACATTTGGTTGGCAAATTAGTTTTTATTTCTCTGATTATGACTGCAGGTTTACAAAAAAGTCAAAGTTTATATGTTCAATACCAAACTTGCAAGAAATTCTTGTAAACATCAAAGCTCAGTTGGTTAAACATGTCGGATCAGTTTCTCGCCACATCTTTATTTCCATTTAATGATCCCAAAACCACCAAGTGTGTAAAAGTTTGTTTCTGTTCCTGCTTTTCCAGAAGTGCTGGTCGGAGGATGGTTCCAGTCCCTGCATTCTCATCGAAACTCCCCACAAAGAGCTGGAGCTCTCGGACCCATCCAGCTTCAAGCAGTACCGATTCAAGAACCTCTTCATCAAGGCCTCCCCCATCCCTCGCCTGAGGTAAGTCCTCTAAATCCCCTACATCAGCTGTAACAGATTACAGCAAGAGAGCCTTGTTACATTGATCCTGATTTTTGGCATCAAAATAGACATATATTTTATGAACGTTACAAACAAACGTTACGTTTTTGTTTTTACCCTGAACCATAGTTGTCAGCCTTTAAAACTAAATGTTGTTTTGTCAATGATCACTATGCAGGGCTGTTCATAGTTCTTTCAGATTTGGGCTTATTTTAAGCTTCTGTTTGCAAGGGGCTATAACTACATGTTTCTTTTTTTATTTTTTCTTAGCTGGGCGAGCTCGGATGATGTGTGGATTAAAATGCTCAACAAGGAGTTGAAGTACGTTCATGACAAGAGCTACTTGCAGCGGCATCCCAAACTGCAGCCCAAGATGAGGGCGATTCTGTTGGACTGGCTGCTGGAGGTGAGTCCTGAGCTGGAGAGAGATCCTAACGAATGAAGCCCCGGTGGGTCAGCATGTCGTTAACCTGTTGCTGTTTGTTCAGGTGAGTGAGGTCTACAGCCTCCACAGACAGACGGCCTACCTGGCCCAGGACTACTTCGACCGCTTCATGCTGACCCAGCAGAACGTCGACAAAGATTACCTGCAGCTCATCGGCATCTCGGCCCTCTTCATCGCCTCCAAGATCGAAGTAGGTCTTAATTTCCTGAGCTCTGTTTGGAGGGTGTCATGGGCTGTTTTTGCAGAACGGTTCTTGCTAAACTCTTGCTTTTCTTCTCCTTTTTTTTAAAGGAAATTTATCCCCCTAAAATGTTCGAGTTCGCCTACGTCACAGACGGCGCCTGTGACGTGTTGGACATCCAGCGCACAGAGCTTCATATATTAACGGTACGTCAGCTGTTCTTTCCTCCGGAGAGGATCCTGTTTGTTTGATTCCTTCGCTGACGTTGGTGTCTTCCTGCAGGCGCTGGACTGGAACCTGTGTCCAGAGACTCCCATCTCCTGGCTGAAGCTCTACGTTCAGGTGGAAGCCCAGAAAGATGGAGAGAACTTCCTAGAGCCGCAGTTTTCTCAGGAAACCTACATCCAGATCACACAGGTATCAAAGTAGAAGTCTGCTCCTCTGCCCTCTGAACCATTGCTGTGAGAACATGTTTGACCGTCTTTCTCTCCTGCAGCTGTTGGATTTGTGTATGATGGACATCGCTTCACTGGACTACAGCTATAGTGTTCTCGCTGCTGCCGCCTTCTGCCACTTCTCTACTTTTGACGTTGTTCATAAGGTCTCCGGTAGGTCTGCGTGTTCATACAGTCTTTAAATAAACCAGATCTGCTGCTGGTTGCTGAGCTGGACTCTCTGTTGCAGGCCTCACCTGGGAGAGCGTGGTCCCCTGTTATCAGTGGATGAGTCCCTTCATGGAGACGCTGCGCTCTGAAGCCAAACCCCAACTCAAGAACTTCCCCAAAGTCAAAGCTGATGACAGACACAACATCCAGACACACGTGGCTTATCTGGACCTGCTGGTGAGCAGAAATGTGGTTCATTCAGGGTTTCCACGGATCATTAAAAGTCATTAAATTTGATTATCGTGGCATTTAAAATGCTTTATTTAAAAAAAGAAGTTTATAAAAACAATTTCAGGGTTCCCACGGGTCCTTAAAAAGTCTTAAAAGGCATTGAATTCTTCAGAATAAAACTAAGGCCTTAATTGGTTTTAAAATGTCTTAAATCAGTCTTTCATAGGTCTTAATTTTTAAAACATCATAAATAGGATTATTTTTATTACGATTTATTTTTGTAATCTAAATAAAACATTAAAATTGCCCCTTTTTTTTCTTCTTTTAAAAAAAAATAAAAAATAAATAACGGCTCGCCATTATTGGTTCCGTCCCGATAGCGGAACCAATAAAAGCGTGGTTGCAGCCGGGACATTTGGGAGATGAACCATTAACTTTTTGTCTGGAAAATATGAGCAAGTGTAAATGTAATGAAAATTGTCTCCAGCCAAGAGTTTTCTCCATGGCTAAAACCAGGGAACATACATGAGGCTCAGTGGATTTTGTGCAAGAAGTCATTCAAGCTCAGAATGATGGGAATTAAGGCAGTGGAGTCGCACATGCGAAGCACGAAACACAAAGCGTCAAAATGGAGTTACCGAGAAACAGCCGGTATTTCTCAGTTTAGTTTCACCCTTGTCTCTGCAACGCCTCCACTTATCACCAAATCAAACATACTAAGAAAACGATACAAAGAAAAATAGCCGCAAAAAAGACTTAGCACTGGTTATGTTGTGGCTTTAAAACTGATTTGTTTTGTTCCCTGCTAAAACAAAGTCTGTGAATTCAGTTAGATATAAAAAAAAATATATCTGTAATTTGTGTGTTTTTAGTTTTCTTCCTGTATGGGAAGCTTTTCAAAATTTGAAACATTAGTGCAGTGGTTTATGTTATAATAAACCTTTGGGTTAAGTTGTCGCAAGCAGGTTTTTCTTGTGTTTTTTGTGAATTTGGTCTTAAATTTTTATTTCAAGTGGCATTAAAAAGTCTTGAATTTAACTTGCCTTATGCTGTAGGAACCCTGAATATCGTCACATATATCAGATATAACTTGTTCTGCGTGTTTGCGTGTGTCTGCCTAAAGACAGCTGATTCAGATGCAGAGATGCATCGAAAACCTGCAGGACAGTTATGAATCTCTGCCTACTATTACCAACTTAAAGTCTGCCTTTAACCAAATTAGCTTTCTTAATATTTGCATGTCAGCGGCGAGAAATAAATGTACCTGAAAACATGTTTTTATTTTCTTTCTGCAGAGAAAAGCTCAGGAGCGTCGGGTCGAAAGCCCCGAATGTCAGCTGTCGCCTGTTGCCGTGGGAAAGCTGCTGACCCCGCCCAGCAGCACAGAGAAGTCAGCCAATCCCTGAGCGGCATCCAGCAGCAGGACACACTACCTCTCATGACAATTCAACGTGACGCCGACTCCTGGGCGCCCTGCTAGGAACGGGCGTCCAGAGACCAACGTTGTTTTAACACTAAGCTCTGACTTCTTGCAGCCGTAATGGAGACCAGACAAGGAACTGGTGATTACCATTAAATCTGGGATGAGCTATAATTCCTTTAATGAATTTATTTTGAAGTATTAAATGTGGTCTTTAGCAACAGCAGCTCGAGTGAAAAAAGTCGCTGGATCCTCACTGGTGCTCTGAGAACCGATGCTTTCTGATGGTGCTTTCAGTTGATCTCAGGAAATCGGGAAATACCATCTTTGTTTTTTTTACTAAAACAGTCATTCCATTTTAAGATGGTGCTAATATGTAGCTCACCCTTTAATCCCAACATGGCCGCCTGAAAATAAATCTCTTTATGGAAGATTATTAAAAACAGAACAAATGGCTTGATCTATGAGGAAATGATTCGTTTTCTTATTCGTTTTATTTTGCGCATGACTTTTTATTTTTTATTGTAAACTGTTGCAACTTTTTGTTACGTTCCTGGGAAACTTGACATTTGTGCAAATTTTGCTTTTCATTTCTAGTGCTTGTATTTATTGATGAGCCTTAAAGAGAAACAAATCTGTTCATATGTAAAATCTCATAGTGATGAGCGGATCAACCGCTGCCAAAGGCAAAAATGGTATTTATGCTCCACAACATCTGTTCGTTTTAGGTTCAGCATTAAATGTTGTACATGAGGATGTCTTCAGTGCCTTTTTTCATATAAGGGGGAGAAAAAAATATGTACATGAACTTTAATTTAAGATGGAGCGAGCTGAAAAGGTAGAAAAAAACCAACTGTGACTGTAAACCTCCGCAGTGAAGACATTGACCATGTGAACTGTGCATAAATGTTGAATGTATGTTTTTGTAAATAGTGCAATTCAGATGTGTAATTTTCTTTTATATTGTTTTAAATAAATGATTAAATTCATACTGATCTTTAGTCCTTAAAGTTTGTTTTTTTTTTGCTGCACAGCAAGAGCAGAACTGGAAGAGATTTTTGATTTGAAGACCAAATGATTTGAAAAATAAGATGAGCTCTAATGGGATCGGTTCTAATTTAGTAGTTTTACAAGTTATTTTTTTTTTATTTATTAAGTATCGCTATGAGTAAAAATTCTGGCTGCTTTACAAGCTAGGAACAACTTGATGAAAAGCTTCTTAAACAAAAATGTACCAAATTATGTCAGAAGTGCACCCCCTAGAGGTTCCCAATTTAATTGCAGGTGGTACATTTAATTAATTAAATGACACATTTTAAGTTTTATTTATTATTGATCCCAATGTTACTTGGAATTAATATAATTACTTTAAAAGGTGGCCGGTTTGTACGGAAGAGGATTAGGGCCACTAAATTTTTTTTAAAGTTGTATAATATGACGAAAAAGTCAGAATTCTAACTTTAATCTTTTTTTTCTGTTCTTCCAGCAGCTATTTTTTCCTTTTTTTCTTTTCTAGAATCCGCTTAAGTACCTCTTTTTGGTATCCATCGTTGTTAACACATTGTACGTAACGGTTATGGTTTTAATCTACGCTCTGGATTACCCATAATTCCAAGTCATAGTGTAAAAAATAAAATACTCAAATACATTGTTCTTTTAAGATTTTTATTGCGGTTTGAAACATGAGTGTATTTTTTTACCAACCGTCTAAACTATACACAGTTATTAAACTTAGTAAAAGTACCACTGTCTGCTTTGCTATTGGTGTCATGTTTAAATGTCTCACCAACATGTTGAAATCTGGCATGTTTTCCAGTATACAGGTGCTGGTCATAAAATTAGAATATCATGAAAAAGTAGATTGATTTCAGTAATTCCATTTAAAAAGTGAAACTTGTATATTATATTCATACATTACATACAAACTCATATATTTCAGATGTTTATTTTGTTTAATTTTGATGATTACAAATGACAACAAATGAAAATCCCAAATTCATCATATCAGAAAATTAGAATATTACTGAAGACCAATAAAAACAAAGGATTTATAGAAATGTTGGCCAACTGAAAAGTATGAACATGAAAAGTATGAGCATGTACAGCACTCAGTATTTAGTTGGGCCTCCTTTGGCCTGTATTACTGCAGCAATGCGGCGTGGCATGGAGTCGATCAGTCTGTGGCACTGCTCAGGTGTTATGATAGCCCAGGTTGCTCTAATAGTGGCTTTTAGCTCTTCTGAATTGTTGGGTCTGGTGTATTGCATCTTCTTCTTCACAATACCCCATAGATTTTCTATGGGGTTAAGGTCAGGAGAGTTTGCTGGCCAATTAAGAACAGGGATACCATGGTCCTTCAACCAGGTACTGGTAGCTTTGGCACTGTGTGCAGGTGCCAAGTCCTGTTGGAAAATGAAATCTGCATCTCCAAAAAGTTGGTCAGCTGCAGGAAGCATGAAGTGCTCTAAAACTTCCTGGTATGTGGCTGCGTTGACCCTGGACCTCAGAAAACACAATGGACCAACACCAGCAGATGACATGGCACCCCAAACCATCACTGACTGTGGAAACTTTACACTGGACTTCAAGCAACGTGGATGAAGTGCCTCTCTTCTTTTCCTCCAGACTCTGGGACCTTGATTTCCAAAGGAAATGCAAAATTTACTTTCATCAGAGAACATGACTTTGGACCACTCACCAGCAGTCCAGTCCTGTTTCTCTTTAGCCCAGGCAAGACGCTTCTGACGCTGTCTGTGGTTCAAGAGTGGCTTGACACAAGGAATGCGACAGCAGAAACCCATGTCTTTCATACGTCTGTGTGTGGTGGTTCTTGAAGCACTCACTCCAGCTGCAGTCCACTCTTTGTGAATCTCCCCCACATTTTTGAATGGGTTTTTTTTCACAATCCTCTCCAGGGTGCGGTTATCTCTCTTGCTTGTACACTTTTTTCGACCACATCTTTTCCTTCCCTTCGCCTCTCTATTAATGTGCTTGGACACTGAGCTCTGTGAACAGCCAGCCTCTTTAGCGATGACCTTTTGTGTCTTGCCCTCCTTGTGCAAGGTGTCGATGGTCGTCTTTTGGACAACTGTCAAGTCAGCAGTCTTCCCCATGATTGTGTAGCCTATAGAACTAGACTGAAAGACCATTTAAAGGCTTTTGCAGGTGGTTTGAGTTAATTAGCTGATTAGAGTGTGGCACCAGGGGCCATCAATTTTGAACCTTTTCACAATATTCTAATTTTCTGATATGATGAATTTGAGATTTTCATTTGTTGTCATTTGTAATCATCAAAATTAAACAAAATAAACATCTGAAATATATGAGTTTGTATGTAATGTATGAATATAATATACAAGTTTCACTTTTTAAATGGAATTACTGAAATCAATCTACTTTTTCATGATATTCTAATTTTATGACCAGCACCTGTAAATACGGTGCGGTCAGTCACTGCAGTATCTGGTGGGTTTTAGAGGAGTTTTTCCGCACCATTACATCTGCAAAGAGACGTCCTGGTCTACAATTGCGTAGGGGGCCTACCAGGTGTCAGTGATGGGGCCACTAAGAGGTTGTGGGCCCAATATTTATGCCATTGAGTTGAATGTTGTAATACATCGGGTACAAGTGGGGAAAAAAGTTATTTCATTTTTCCAATTCATGATCCTCCATGTGTTCTTCTTGGGTTGCCAATGGAGCATTTGCTCTTCTGTCCAGAGAAAAAACACGTCATTAATTCATTACTCTGCTTTGCATAGTGCGCTGGTCGTCACCATCATGGATGTGTTGTTTGTTGTCACAAACACCAGATACAGCACTGAGACTTGATCAACAGCCGATACCACACCATGACGTCACAAACCAGTAGGTTGACAAACATGGATGTCTCCAGTAAAGCACATTCAAATGAAAATTAATCTTAATTAAAAACACTTAACATGTTTTGAAAAGCATATAATAATTTCATACTTAAAGTACTTTCAGAAGTTTGTATTCTGAATGTGAGCGGACTTTTCCTTCAATTCGCTAGCAGCGTTAAACCTTCCTGTTAGCTCTTAAATACGGAGCACTCACTGACTGGAACGGGATTTCGTTACGTTTTGGTTTCTGATCAGCTGATTTCAGTTAATAGATGCTTCCTTTCAGTGCATTTCATCAACAGCCGATACCGCACAGTGACGTCACAAACCTGTAGGTGGCAGTAGTGTTCTTTGACAAACATGGATGTTTTCCAATAAAGCACATTCAAATGAAATTACTCCTAACTAATTATCTTAATTATCATTTATTGAACAGTTTGTAATAATTTCATATTTAAACTACTTTCAGAAGTTTGAATTCTGAATATGACCGGACTTTTCCTTTAAGGCAGCTCCTTGTTTCCTGTCTTCCATTACTGGATGAACTGAATGATGCAGGTGTGACCGTGTGTGAATGGTTGTATGTTTTGCCCTGAGGTGGAGCAATGAACTGTCCAGGATGTTTCTGCTTTTCACCCACAGAATGCTGGAGAGGCTCCGCCCCCCCATGACCCTGATGGATGGGCAACAGAATACAGATGCTTAGTCCGGATTTAGCCACATCATACAACAATAATAATAATAATTGAACTTTATTGATCTCACATTGGAGAAATTTACCTCCGCATTTAACCCATCCCCTTGGGGAGCAGTGGGCTGCAATTGTGCGGCACCCAGGGAGAAGTGTGGGGTTGAGGGTCTTGCTCAGGGACCCAGAGTTGCAGTCTGTGGGGATCGAACCGGGTACTTGCAACCTTCTCAGAGTATAAACGCACTGCTCTAGTTTGAGACAAGTTCAAGGTGCTCAGTTCTGTTTTGTTACTAAACTGAAGTAGCAAGAAAAGAACAGCAACATCTTTTAGACTGGATTGCAGAAGAAACTAAATTTAAATAATTTTTATAAACTGTTTAAACCTGCAGAGAACATTAATACAACATGATAATATAAATAGAAGATGGGTTGTTTGGATGTAATTGATGAAAATCACA